ATTCTTACACAGAGGCTTTCATTCTTCTTCCAAGCTTGGCATCTTAATTCTCAGTGCAAAACCAGTTCCCTGTGTGGTGCTGTTGGTTACTGGTACCATTAGGAAGGGAAAATCTCTTCTAAGGATTAGGCTATTTTGTGATTATTATTTTTTTTTAATTCTTTGGTTGTATGTGAAGTAGGCTTACCTGTAAAGGTGTACTGTCATTCTGTCTATTCCTTCCTCTTTTAAACTTTACTCCAATTGTTTTCTGTACCACTACTCCAAACCAGAGCCGTATCTCTAATGAGAACATCCAAACAGGTGCTTTAAGAAGTTCTCCTTACCTGTTTCACTGTACGTGCAGTGTGCTCTGGGTGCTGGCTCGGGGCAGGGTTGCTCTGCCAGTTACACCCACAGAAGTCTGCCAGCCTGCCAGAGGAGCTGAGCGCTTGCAGAGGTGTTAACCTGCTCTGGGGAAAAACAGCTGGGAGGGTTTTGCTTCGCGGTGCGCTGGTGGCAGCAGGACCCACGCCTGAGAAACGCTGGGAGCTGGTGATCGCTCACACTGGGGGTGGGAGTCACGGGAGCTGAGCGATGCTGCTGAGGGGGAGGCCTATGCAGCGCTGAGAACACCAGCAGCTCTTCCCAGTCTCTGGTCTAAATTCACCCTTCCAGTGCTGGTAGCACTGGTGAGGCGATGAGGTGTTACAGCACTGGTTTGCAGATGAGCTGTGTGCAGAAACTAATTGGCAGCTGGGTCCAGGGGGTGAAGGCACAGGGGCTGGGAGACTGAGTTGTGCCCTGCAAGGAGCTCAGTCTGTTCCTGTGTAAGGAAATAACTCCCTGCCGTGGCAGCACCGATCAGTGTGTGCTCCTAGAGCAAGAAGGAATTGCAGTGGCCAAACATACTGATGAGGGCAAACAATATTCTCAGTCCCAGGTGAGACCCAAATATAACATGGAAACCCCAGGATTTCAGTTGACTTTTTTTTTTTTTTTTTGTAGTTACTGAAGTGTGGTGAGATGTCGTGGTTTACTTTTCCCTATAGACAGGAGAGACTGAAACAGCCAACGACTGGAGATGGGCTCTTTATTCGTGGCCTATGGACTGTGGCAATACCGAGGATAAGCAGAACTGTGGTCCTAGAAATGCGAGATGCTCCCTCTAGTCTACATGAATAAATGATGGATGAAATGGCTGCTGTATTGTAAATGGAATTTATAATGTTAACAATATAATACAGTCTCTTGCCACAACGGGTCCGTTCCCAACTCGTATATTAGGTCTCCTTTCTTGTCTTTAAGATGCTTGGAAAGGAGCCCAATGCGTTATTCTTTAATACAAATAAATGTAAGCTAAGCAGTCTTGTGCATTGAATATTGCTGACACGAGACCTTCCAGCCATACGTACCTGTCTGCTAAGGCCTCGACTAATTTGCCACGAACTCCCAGGCAAACAGTGATAGGAATGAAAACAAAGGTAGCTCGAGTACATTCGATACTGTGAAAAAGTAGAAAACTTGTTTTATCACCCTGACAGGCTTCACTGATGTAACTGTCCCGTTTTGTCTTGCCTGCGCTGTTTTATCAAGCCAGATCTCCTTCCTTTGCTACAAAGGAGGTTTCCCTTCTCTGTAATCCCTGAAATAGCACAGAGCAGGGTGGGGATGGAGCTTTTGGAGCTTTGTAGTGCTGCTGGCTGGGAGAAAACATAGCACTGGGGAAAAAATGGATATTCTTACGCGTCCCTCACACGATTCACCCTGCAGTGATGCTTGTTATGACACCTTGAGAATAAAAATGATAAAAGGAGCCTTTAGGACAGTCTGAAGCTCATTTCTGCATCTCAAATCACTGCAATTTTTAGCCAGTTTCTGCATGACAGTGGCCAAGCACCACATCCCTGCCAGAAGGGTGGCGATGGAAAGCTCTTCAGACTCCAGATCTGCTGTCACTTCTGGCAATAACGCGCTCTATACTTCAACGCCTTTATCCTTGATTTACTTTTGAGGCTCTTCACAGAAGCCAAATACAGAATAAAAGTGGTTGGTGAGACCATCACCACTAACGGCGTGCTGCTTTTGCTACTCTAGCCTGCGCAAGGCGTACAACCCCTCTTCCAGATGAGGCATCTGCTTCCCCATCTTCAGCAAAACAAAACCAACCAACCACCACCATACCCGGTAAGTTCCAGCAGATTCTTTTACGCCCCCCTTCTTCTGTCTGCAGCTCACGGCACCTATAGGCTTCACACTTCATCTGGTGAGCGAGTAAATGTGCGTGAAGCCAGGCTGCTGTTGGCTTCTCTACAGCTGGGGCTGTGGGCCCAGCCTGGCCACTGTGATCCCTCTCACCGGGCAGCTTTGGTTTGGAATACCTGGATTTGTTGGTACTCTAAATAGTTAAAAAACAGAGAAGAATTTGAGGTAAACAAGAAAAATCAAAAGCTCTTCTTATACAGCTTGAAGAGGTCACCTCTTTGCAGACAGAAGTATAATTTAAAAACTTTTTCAAAGGAATCAAATGCCGGCTGCACGCGGGCGGCAGGATACACACGAAAACCTCTTGAAAGAGCGCAAGTGGCTTTTCTCGGAAAGAGAAGTACCCGTTGGTTAACCTTCCACTGGTGAAGTAGCAAGCTCGTTGGACAGCTTGTCCCATTTAGGACAACTTCCCTCTTAATGCACAAACGTCTCTTAAAGAAGAACTTTAGGCTCTGCGGGTACTTGCTGTGCTGGTTTCTCTCAGTCTGATTTCAATAATGCTCCGTTCTCCTTGTGCACACCTCTCTGCTAACTGACGGCTGCAGATGAGGGGTTTTCAGCGCTGAAGCTTTCTGTAGCTTTATTTTCTTAAATACCAGGCTTAAGTCTGGTGTGAGATTATCTTTTCCTGTCTTGCGGTGATTTCTCTTAGGTGACTGCAAGTTGTTTAGTGCATTTAGGCAGATAACGCAGCGTCCTGATGTGCAGCAAGCAGGGGCAGCCCCGTGCAGCAGCCGCAAGAGGAGATCAGGAGGTTGACTGCCCCAGCTGGAACTTGCTCCTCTGCTCCTGCTCACAGGCTGCATGCCACTTAATTTCCTCTGGGAGATGAAGTCTGGAGCATTTGTCCTTTGCAATTACTATTTCTGAGGTCTGTGCTTCTGCACCAGTAGCAAGAGCCTAAGGATTGTATGGGTAGGGTGGAGGGTAGGCTTGTGTTTGGTTTCTCTTTTTTCCTGAACAGTATTCGAGTGTCCTCTGGCAGAACTGCAGGAGGATTAGCACCACGTCTGCTTGCAGTTACTGAACTATTCACCAGGCTTTGGTTAAAGAGGTCCAGGACTGAACATTAGTGGTACTTGGGCTTCACAGGAAGGCAGCACCAACTTTGTGACTTGGTTAGGAAGCCAGTGACATTTTATCCTAAAAGCAAACAAAGAAAACCCTAAACCCAACCAAACAACACCCGATCAACCAAAGGAAAATCCCCCCAAGGGCTAGTGCAGTGGTATATCGCCTACAGCAATCTCTCTTGGGCTGTTCCCAGCTTTGTTGTGCTCTCCTGTGGTTATTTTCTACAGGAATTCGGTGCTGTTGCTCCTTGACACGTTCCTGCTTGCATCGCAATAAAAGTGTGCAATTGCAGGGAAGCTGCTGGGTGCAGAGCTTGTCTGGGATATAGCTTTATGAAGTAGTAAATTTTCTGTTGCTTAATCTAATTTGCTGGAGAAAAACACTAGTGCAGGGAGAGGAGAATGTGTGCTTCACCTTCCAGAAGTGCCATTAGAGATCTTGATCTTGTTACAGTCTGTTCTGTGTTACTACTTGTACGAACGGTAGCGTATGAGGATTTTAAATATATCTCAGTAAGAAAGTACAAAGAAAGAGCAAGTGTCAATAGCAACAGACAGCAAATGACTGCATTAAAGGGAGGAAATGCTTGTGTCAGCCCCCTCCCTCAGAAATCAAATCTCGGCAGAGTGAGTTTAACCCTCGCTTCTTTTGTGGTGGATTAATTAAGTCCTGTGACCTTCCTCTGTGATGTTAAATGCTGAAGTCCTGGCCACTGAAAATAGGCCCCACGTTTCTTCATGTTGCTCTCTGATGTGCCACTATCTGTCTTGTGCCTTCGCTCCAGTTTTCTTCTGCTTCCTTTATGAAAAGTTCACTGCATCCTCTCGGTGGAGGTGCACGCTGGTGTGTGCAGCGTTAGGCAGGACGATGCTGCAGCCTCTTGGGCTTGCAAAACTTGGTCCGTTCCCAGCGCCAGCCAAAAGCAGTGATGAGTGTGAGCTGTAGGGACAGGACAACAGAGCACTGACACAGAACAGAAACCTTGAGAGAACTTCTTGGAGCTGCACTCGGGCAAGGATACCAGACCTGGAAATGCCAGGGTGGCTCCAGCCTGGACTGCATGGGGCTCTTGGGCTGGCTCAGAGGGCAGCATCCTGCTGGTGCACTCCTCTGGTCAACCAGCTCCTGGCTTGGTAAGGCTTTGGCTAAGCCAAAATTAAATTTCTTGTGCTGATGATGCTCCTGTTGTTCTGACAGAGTTCCCTTATTTCTTGTCTCAGGTTTCTCCTGCCTTCTTTTATATGCTCGACTGCATACACTTCCTCCGATAGCAGCACGTTTACGAGCCTTAAATGAGCTGATTCTCTATGAGCTCTATACTGAAGTGGCTGCTTGAAGATATTGAAATAAACAGCTTTTTCTGCAGCACGGCACCCGCTCTGTGGGGTGATGCAGCGGGGTTGGACAGCTGAGATCCCCCCCCTGGAGAAATATCCCCGGCCTCTCCAGCCTTCTGCTGCAGGCTCATTTGGAAATGGCATTTCAGCACAAGACCGGCGCTTAATATATCATTCAGGCTCTGTTCATTGTCTACAGATAGTAGTGTAACCTAAGTTCAGCAAAGTAATTAGGAGAAATAATTAATGGCTCTCAGTGATGAAGCAACCCCTCCCTCCCGTCTCCCTCACCATGTGGTGCACCTTGGTAGCGACTCAGAAAACACAAGAGGACATTATGAATCCAAAAATAAAAGTCTTTACCTGTAATTAACTGTGCACACAGAAAGGAAAACGGGGTGATCAAGCAGCAGTTGATAGTTGCTTTACTGTAGGAGAGTACACCATCATGGCAAAACGTCCCTTTAAGTTGTGTTTTTTTTTTTATAACATTTAATCCAAAGAAAAATAAGTCTCTACCAAAAAAAAAAAAGTATTTAAACCGTACACTATACGGAAATGGGTGGATAAGACACTGCATTCCTCACATACCATATGCCTAATGGCCCCCTATGTTCTCCTTAAGTGCAAGAAAACAAAACCCGTCAATGAAATACAAAATCAATGCAGCAACTGGAGCTGTAGGCAACAGCACGTGGATGGCCCGGCCGCCAGTGGGATGTGAGACTATGCAGCGAGGATGGACCAGAGCCCCCTCTGCCCTCCCTCCCTGTAGTGTGGTGGGGCTCTGGAGGTACCATGACAGGCTCTGTCAAAATGGGACACTAAGAGAGGGGTTTAAAAAAAAAAAAGGAACAAAAAGAACATCCCAGCCTATACCAAAGTAAATAAATTAATCGTAAAAAAAATATCCCTTGGATCGCGGCACTGTTTCACCAGGGCCCTGGTGGTCCCTGGTTGCCCTGTGCAGAGCAGGGAAGGAGCATCGCTGCGCGGGAGGAAGGATGGGCCACGGGTCCCTGCGGGGCCACGGCACTGGTGTGCACTGGTGTGCACTGGTGCAGTCCCCTCGCTGCTGCTCGGCAGCCGGCGCGGTGCTGCGGCCACCCCGGCTACAGCAGGGATGGTTTCGCGGGCAGGAGTCGGCCCCTGGTTTTCTGCGTACCTCTCTGCTTGGAAAGTGGACCGAAAGACGTTGTGCAAGTCCTAGCGTGAAGGAAGGCGGAGGAGCCGGTGGGGAGAGCCACCCGTTACCTCGGGCTCCCCGGGTCCCTCGGGTGATGTGCCTCGGCTGGGCTCCCTCCTCCCAGCCCTCAGAGGTCCACGAAGCCGCGCAGCTGGAGGGCGAGCACGCCGAGGAGGACGGTGCCGAGGCCGGCGCGCGTGCTGTGGGCACCGTCGCAGTCCTTTTTGTCGGCCTCGCACCGCGATTGCTGGCACAGGACCCCCTTGAAGCCCACGGGGCAGATGCAGCGCTGGTTCTGGTAGCAGGTGCCGCCGTTCTGGCAGAGCAGGAGCTCCTCGTCGCAGACGTTGGCTACGGGATGGGAGGGAGGGAAGGTGAGGGGAGTTTGTCCATGGTGCCTTAAACCCCTCGATTGCAGCAGAAGCTAGAAAGCTTTTTGGCTTTCCTTTATGGCTCCTGGGGCTTAAATTATCCCACCCTCACAGGGCTAGATCAGGCCCAAGGCTGCAGGAACAGAGTGAGGCGCTGCAGACTTCAAAGCTTTTGGGATTTGGGAGGAATGGTCGGAGTCTGCTCACCCCACAGCCTGAGCATCACGGGGCAGCCGAGCAGGCGGTGCTGGAGATCCCCCTGTGCCTGGGCCCTCCTCCTGCTGCCCCTGGCTCAGGCTGGATGCCCGCGGTGCTGTCGGGGTACTTACGGAAGCAGCCCTGCCTCCAGTAGTAGTTGGGCAGGCAGTCATCGCACTTGGGCCCCGTGGCGCCTTCTTTGCATTCACAGTAGCCGGTCTCGTTGCAGCGGTCGTGCAGGGAGCCGATCTGGTTGCAGTTACATTCTGGCCAAAGACAGCGCCGTCAGGCCTTGTCCTGCCCATGGACTTTGTGCCTGCTGATGTCCCCCTTGGAGATGCTGGGGATTTGGGGAGAGCCCAGCTACGTGATATGGGAGGGCCCTGGGAGAGCCTGCACAGCCCAGGCTGCACGAGAGGGGTCCAACAGCACAAACACAGGTACGAAGACCACCCCCACCCATGTCTAAGCAACTCCAGCTACAGCAATGCAGCTGAATCTAGTCGGAAAACACTATTTGGGCTTTGCCGTCAGGAAATTGATGGCGTGGCAGGCTGCCCTAACAGCTGCCATCCTCCGGGAGCACCCAGGTGGACGCATCGCCCCCTGAACTGAAGCCCACCCCGTGGCATGAGGTGGCTCAAGCACTCACCTATGCATACATTCTCGTCGTCCAGCTCCGCCGAGCTGTTGCGGTAGAAGCCCAGGCGGCAGTGCTGGCAGTGCTGGCCCCGCGTGTTGTGCTTGCAGCTCACGCAGGTCACCACGTTGAGGAAGTCGATGTAGCTGCAGCGGTTGGAGTGGCCGTAGCACTCGCAGTCTGCGGGGAGGAGGAGAGAGCTGGGCCCAGGGCCTCCCTCCCTCACGGGTGGAGGTGAGGAGCCGCAGGCTTTGGAGGAGCCTTCTGCTCCAGCAAAAGGCAAAGCTCGCTGCCTACACGGGGCTGCTTGGGCTGTGTGTGTGCACTGGGGGCCGTGTTTTGCTGCTGCAGGGGGGGTATCGGGCTGGGGACCCTTGCTCAGAGTGGGGCCGGGGTGGTCTGTCCCTGCAGGGGTAAGGACAGGAGGGAGCTGTTCCCAGGACACTATTTCTTCAAGGAAATGCATAATCACAGCAGCAGAAAGCAGGCTGTGGAGTGGTGTCAGGTGTTAATTAAAGAGATGCCTCGTTAATGAGCAGAGCCCAGCTTGGTGCCTGGAAGGAGAAGGGAGAGGTGAGGGGCTGGGGCTCTGCTGGGGGCTCCAGGAGCTGGAGCACTGCACTGGGACAGCCTGGCCTGGCCCGGCACGGCACAGCCTGGCTGTGGCAAGGAGGAGCTGGGCAGGCAGAGCACTGGGAAGGCCCTGGATGAGGCTGTGCTGGAGCTGAAGCTGCTGCGTGCTCAGGTAAACCCTGGCTGCCTCTCTGGGCTTTTCCTCCTTTCTGTGCTTACCTCCCTGCTCCGTATCTGTTGTGAATTCTGGTGACTCTCAGCTGTGGCTGAGTACATTAGGGTGGTTTAAAATGCGTGTGTGTAAGGAAGAGTGGCTCGTGGGGGGTTCTGCAAAGGGTGGTGGGCCGGTGTACCAGGGGGTGAGCGGGGCTGCCTGGCACAGCAGAGGGGTGCTTTCGGCGAGCAGAGCATTGCTCCTGTCCCCAGCGTGCTGGGCTGACCTCTCAGCTGCAGGTGCTGATTACTGGCTTCTTGTGTTTGCTTTTTATTACTCTGGATCGGGATGACGAGCACCTCGCTGCGCTGGCAGTGTGAGGCTCAGGATGATGGATCTTTCTGGGAGTTTAAAAGGACAAAGCAGGAGGAGAGGAGGGACGCTAGCTGCCCTGTGGCACTGCCATCCTGCTCAGGAGGCGTCCCAGCCAGCTGGCAGGGGACATCGTGAGCAGTTGTCAGCCAGTGTCAGGCAGGTCCGAGCTTCCCCGGCCGTTGGGAGGCAGAGGCAGGCTCAGAGCTGGGGTTTCTGTCCAGGCTCTTGCATTAAACATTCACGGATGGCAGAGGGATGGGAGGGAAGGACGTGGGCTGGCATGCACAGAGGACTGGAGGAGGAGATCTGTGTCAATGAAATGAAGACAGAAAGATGGAGCAGGGCAGAGGTTTCCCCATGGTTCGCAGCTGCCTGAGGAGGAGCTGAGATGGTAGTAATCCTGACCCCCTGTGAAACAGCTTCTGTGTGACAATATCCAACAAATTTCATCTCGAATACTTCTGGCTGCTGCAATTCCCAAGCATCGTTCTGCCCTAGGATGCACTCCTACAGCTATCCCACGACTCGTACTCATCCCATGACTCCTCATTTTCTCTGTGCCTGTTGCTGCTGCACCACATCGCTCTCCCAAGGACTGGGAGCCCCGGAGCACCGCGCTCCCTCCCCTTACCTTTATATTTTTCAATAGGAGCCACTGGGCCAGAGTCTGGTTTGAGCCGGATGAGTTTGGAGATGTTTGAGGATGCTTAAGAAAAATCAGAGACAGGCTTTTTCTCACCACTTAGCACCACTTCGCGTCCTACACTACTGCGAGCATCTCTGGTACGAGAACAATGACGAGCCAAGCCAAGAACACCGCTCTGGCAGCGCTGCAAGCTATTTCTGCACCAGACAGCTGGTAGCTGCTAAATTTCTCCTCTTCTTCTCCCCTCCTCGAACTTTGATGCATGAGAAATTCCATGCACAGTGATGTTGCATCACTCAGAGCCGGGTGCCGGGCAGAGGAGCCATCCACACGTCCCCCCCACACAGCTACCAGCTGCGGCCCTGGTTTGATGGGGGCCAGGCCAACTGGCCCCCCAAAAGCTGCTAGGAGCACAGCTATGAGCTCAAACACTACAGAATTAGGCATGGTTTGAGGAGGGGACCCACAGGGCCCACGCAGCTCCAGCCCACTTGCCCACACCAGCACCTACCTGGCTTCTTCTTGTGCTTCTTGCCTGCAGAGTGTGCTGTGCGCCCTGCTTTGCTCTTCGGGGCCACTACATGAGATGACACAACAAATCTGAGTGCTGTGATGGGGGCAGAGCCCCCAGAGCCCACCGAGCTGGGCTTGGTGGTGGCTAATCCACCAGGAGAAGTGGCTGCCCCTGGCCAGGATGGTGCCTGTGGGAGCCCTTTGCTGCGTGGCGTGAGGCAGCAAGGAATTACGGCGGTGTAGGCGTTAAAGGTCGTTGCTTCAGGACAGAAGCTTGGGGTTTTGGTGCTTGGGGAGTTTTTGCTGTTGTCATTGTGAGGTTGTTGTGGGGTTGGGGCCTCCTCAGGTCTCTTTGGGTCCCCCCAGCTCCACGGCAGGCTGTCCTGCTCATCCACAACTGCTAGTCCCAAAAATGTCTCCAGTAAAACCTCGGTGGGATGAGGAGAACGGAGCTGGGACAGACCCTCTGAAGAGGAGAATGGATTGTACGATGCTGGGAGATGCTGAGGATGGGTGTGTTGTCCAGGCCGATGGGCACTGCGGGAGAAACCTGCCATGTTTCATCCTTGGGAAAGGGCCATGGCCTTACCTTGAATGCTCTTGGGAGGCTCTGGTGGCTTCAGCTTGGGTCCAAGGGCTGCTGCATTTGTTGGGCGCTGAACAGCTTAAGGGGGTGTTAGGTAGAAAGAACACCAGATTTAATACAGATCCTGCACTCGCTTGCTTGAAAAGGTGACAAAGGGACCAGAAGTTCTAGGCAGGAATCTAGGGAGGGCTGGGGAGCTGTGTGTGGTTGAAGATGCATTGAGGCAGGGATGAGAGACAAAGTCTCCTGGAAATTAGAGTCTTCTAGTACTAAGAGAGGCAGAGAAACTACTCTTCATAATTTTCTCATAAATCTTCTCTCAAAACATAATTTTGTCTCTCTGTGAGGCTAGAGAGGTCCAAAAGCATAACAGTTCCAAAGAGCCTGAGTTGCAGCACTTTGTGCACACGAGTTGAGAGTTTCCAGACGTCCTGGGCCCAGCTTCAGTTGTTCTGCACTGGAAGAGGTGCTTCTGTCCGCAAGGGAGCTAACTACAGGCACCTCAGCTGGAAAAAGGGGGCTGAGCACCAACAGGCAACTGCCAAAGCATGCCAGTGGGAACCCTGAGGAGGAGAAACTTCAGCCCCAGCAGTCAGCACGAAGCCTCCCAAGGTTTCCACTGGGAGCTTCATAGCTTGCCTTTGGTAGACACACGGGAGAAGTGAAGCAAGGAAATCTGTAAGAAGGCATCTACGCTGTAAAGGACACAAGCCTATCTGTTTACAAAGTTGTTCTGCTCTACAAACAGACTCTGGTCTCGGGAGACAAGAGGATTTCCATGATTCTCTCTGTTCACCCCAGCAGCAAGCTGAGAACAATCTTCTGTACCACTTATCGTCCTCATCTTTCATGTATGCAATAAACCCCGAGGCTCAATCCAGCCTCACCAGATTACCAGCTGCGTGGAGGGCATAGACAAACTCTGAGCTTCTCCTGAGCAGGAGGAGGAGAGAGATGCATGGAAAGCAGAGATGTGGAGCTAGGAACTAAAGCATTTGCTGGGTGTTGGGGCACTTGCCAGCAGGACCCAGCTCAACCACGCGTCTCCTACCTTCTGATGCTGTGCCAGCCTTGGCCGGGGGAAAGCCCAGTTGCAGTGGGGCAGCCGCTGACAAGCTGGTGTAGTCTTGTAGCAATCAAAGAGGAAAACACATTAGGAGGTGTGTTGGAGGAGCTGGAAACCAGCTAGGAGCTTGGCTTCTCTCTGATGCAGAGCCAGAGCTCTGGGGGACAAAACTCAGCCCTGCGGCTGTCCCTACAAGCAGGTTTTCATGACTTGCCTGCTTGGTGCAAGTGCTACAGCCCCTCTGAAAGCATGGCTTTTGGTCTGTGTGTTTGCACAAGGGCTTTCGGTGACTGGTTTCCACCCCTCTTTGCTTTGAGGAGCTTTGTTTTAAACACCACACAGAGAGATAGCACAGGTATTTTATGATAGAGGCACCAAGTCCCAGTTTCTAATTTAAACTTCTAGGCTCTCCTTCAGGCCCTGCTCTTGCCTTGGAAATGCCACTTAAAGAATTTGCAAGCCACTGCAGAGGAACTAAAACAGCAGAAAATTTATAGATCACTTCTTGTTTGATTTCTCCGCAAACCCTCACCCCCACGGGCTCCATGGCCCTCCTCGTCTCCTCAATATTGGTAACAATCTTCAGGTTTGCTAGAAAACAAACCAAGGAATACAATTTTAAAAGCCATATTATTAATTTCAAGCTCCAGTTGGGTAACATAAGGAGGAGGAGGAAAAAAAAAATTCCTTGATCCTTGCCAAGTTTCAAAGGACAAACCCGAGTAGGAGAGAAATGTGATTTCCCAGCCTCGTCAAGGGGATAATAAACAATGCAGAATAAAAAAGAAAAAAATCTTTTTTTTTTTTTTTTTAAATGACGAGCTCTAAAAGAAGGTGATAGATGTTGTCCTTTTCAGCTGGAAAGTGGAAACCAATTGATATTAATATGGTGTTAAAGAGAATATGAAGAAAGCCCTGTGCAAATTGGCAAGGGTTTAATTAGAGTCACAATAAAAAACAGCCCTGGAGGCATTTTGCTTTTTAGTCATTCACATACACCTCCACTCGATCGCATTTACAGAGCCAGGAAAATTATTAATGCTCATTATCCTGAGAACCTTTCCCTTATAGCTCTGTGACATTAATGGACAGTTTTACATTTTGGGAGTGGGAGAGGCTTGTTTCAGCCCCAGACCCCTTCCATACGAATGGGAAGCACTGGACGTGTCTTATCTGTGGGGCTTTTATCAGCCCTGGTGAAAACACTAGGTCTTCGTGGGTTTCTGGTTAAGTAGAATCAAGAAGTCAGATTTTATGGGGAAAAAAAAAAAAAAAAAAAAACAAAAAACTCTGGGCAAGTAATGTTTGGAAACAGCACAGGAGTAGTGGGGAAGGACCTTGGAAAAGCCCTTTTCCTTAATCACATGCCATGACCCTTCTGGGCTTGGTTTTGGTTTTCCCAGAGGTAAATTGGCACTGCTGGAATTACCAGGTTACAAACTGTTGAGGGTGGATAAATGGAAGCAGGAAAAAAGTTCCTTTTGCTTATACTGAACGTGGGGAAAATTGTAACAAATGGCAAGGCAGAATTTCACAGGCTTCAAGGAAGGTTTAGAAATAACAAATCTGCAGAAGGCAAATGAGAATAGCACTTAATTCATCCTCCTTAGGGTAACTGTGATTTCCCTTCGTGCTACCCATTTTGGCAGCCTTGAGTGCGTTCAGACCACAGACCGTGTCCATAAACTCAATCCTTTCCCCCTCTCACCGCATGACAGGCAAATGGGCACAGAAGCGTCCTATGAGCATGACCACAGCTCCACCTTGACCACAGAAAACACCACGAGCAGCCAAAGGAAGCAGATGTCTAGCAGATCCATGCAACCCAGAGACAACCCAAATCTAATCTACTCCTCTAAGTCTACGTGCTATGCTGCTCTCTGCCTTGCTGCTACCCACTAGTGTGCGGAGGCATGAGGGAGAAGGGAAAAACACATCAGTCTGGCTTGAAATACCTGTTTTTTTCTGTCTCTCTTTCACGGGCACAGAGGCAGCGAGCTCAGAGGCTGGTCTGATGATGCTTGCTTATGGTGGGAAGCAGAAATTCAGAGGGCAAAAGACAGTGCGTATGTTAGAGGGTGAAACAACACCGTGATGGGGCAGGGCCCTAGCAGGATTTTTTTTAATGCCCATCTGGCTGAGCTGACTCTAAAGAAAGGGAGGGATTTGTTTAATACTTCTGAAATTCAGGAGGGAGGCGATGACAGAGTATCTCATCTGGGGATTCTTACCCGGCTCGGGGTTATTGCGTCTCCTGCAAACGGGCATCTTGCCAGCAGCTAGAAGGGTCACCTTTCTAATGAGGTGTTTTCCCTGAGGTCCCAGTGAGTTTGATTCAGAGTCCCTCTGGGATCTCATGGTATTTAAGGAAGTACTTTACATTTTGCAGGACCAGAGGGGGAGGAATGTCTTGGGACCCAAATGCCAGAGTAGAGGAGGGAGACCAGACTGCCTCTATAACGGGGCTGTGGCAGCTGAAAAAACCCAAACCTGCATCTCCTTTTCTGCACAAAAATAGGAATCGGGCAAACTCTGCTCAACTCTTTTAAACTCAAAGCAGAGTAGAACTGGGCTGTACTTTGCTTCCCTATCCATGCTCAAAGGCATGTAACACTGTCTGGCTATTGCCAAACTGCTGGAGGACTCAGAGCATCATCCTATTTGGAGCAGCCCCCCCAGGGACTGCCCCATCCCAGATGCACCATTCTGGGGTGAGACCTGGCTGTGCAAAAACCTGGGCTGGGCACCTGGGTGGAGGCAAGCAGCTCGGCTCAGCCCTGCCCTTATAAAGCCTGGGATGCCATGGCTGTTCTGTGATTTTATTATTATTATTATTATTTGTCCCTTAACACTAGGTAATGAAAGCATTGGCTCTGTCCAGGAAGCAGGAGAAGGACTAAACCCCGAAGTGCAGGATGTTTTCCAGGTTGCCCAGAGCAGCTGGGCAAACACCCCCTTTGCTCCCAACCCCACACAGGTGCCTCCCTGCCCACCCCAGGTGTATGACACAAGCAAGACAGAGCGCTGCAAATCATACATGAGACAGACACTACACACACCACCCACGTATACACAGCACTCACAAAATAAAAAACAACACAAAAAACAGACCTAAAATGTTGCTATGGGTGAGCATGGATAAAAATCATGACCCCAAGTGCGTGGTGGAGATGTAGCTCCTCGTCACTGCCTGGGGACGTGGTGATGACGGGAGCGCTGAGCAGGGGTGGCAGACAACCTCCTCACACACGTCTATATCGTGTACCTGGGTGAGGAGCATTTTTTAGCAGGCAAGAAGATGGTAATTCTTTTGCCCAGGGTCATTCCAGCTCCATGGAAGTTGGAGATAGCCCCCCGGCTTCCCAATTAACTACTCAAGCAGGGTACCTCCATGAATATAGCTATATTTGCATAAACATGCAATCAAGTTTCCTCATCCCTTTGACTGGCTTCTGGCAGCTCCCCCAGACAGACTGTTACTAACATACTGTGGGTGTAAAACGTCCTCCCGGGAAATATCAGGCCCAGAAAGCATGGCAATGGGAGGAATGCGTGTCTAATTCCCCCATGAGAAGCTTAAAAAAATGTCCTGCTGTTAAGTTTTATCTGCTCATTTCCAAAAGAAAAGGGAAAACGATGTCTCCTTGTTCGCAGGAGAGGGAAGGTGGAACCCTGGGAAAAAGCACAAAGGTTTTCCTCCACGGAGTGATTGCAGAAATTAAGAAAGGGTGTTGGAGGCGTGTGCGAGCTCCAGCCCCCAGCACGCTCCCTTGCTTCTTGTTCAGCTGCCACTTGGGGAGTGTTAGCGTGCGGCTCGTCCCTACAAGCACTGCCCTTGAAAAGGCAGCAGCCTGCGCTCAGTCCTTGAGCCTGGTGCAGGGTTTGGAGAGCCAGCAAGGATGGAGCCAGCTTGTCTCTTGACCTGATGGCCTGTCCCTGGGGTGGTTTAGCAAAGCTTTTGCCCTGCTCTCAGTTTGTGGCTTCCCCCTTGGGAAGTTTTCCTGGCTGAGAGAGTGCAAGGGTGGGCAGAGCCCAACCCAGCCCTCCCCATCGCTCTCTGGGAGCAGCACCCAGCCAGCAAAGATACTGGGGCAGCTGTCCTGCTTGCTGTGGTATTCTGTGCGGAGGTTTGGGGTTGGAGCAGGATGAGGTACAGCTCTGCTTGTCTCTGCCATGGGACAGTGAAGTCCTCATTGCTTTTCTCCCTTGCCTTGTGATAGGAGCTGTAAGTGAGCATCTCTTGCAGTCGTGCCAGCACTTTGCAGGTCAATATTGCCAGGTGGCTCTAGAAGGGAGATTCAAAAACCTTTTCTTAAAAAAAAAAAAAAATTAAAAAGGGGAGAAGTGTTGCTTCCCCCGCATCCATCCAGTCCTGGCTTCACTTCTTGCTGCCCTGATGGTAACAGAGCAACAGCAAATTGAGATTGGTTGGTGAGGAGGGATGTTAACCCGTTGCATGGTTATCTTGTGGATTGGGGCTTTGAGATGGACCTGAAATGGCTGGCTTTGTGGTTATAGGAACCACAACGCGTGCTCCTAGCTCATGATGCAAATGTCAAAGTACCCTTGGACTGAAAAGGGGATAAAGCAAACTGGGACTGCCCAGAGGCTGAGAGCTGTGAACCTTTTCAGGGTGATTTTTATCCATGTCCCCGCACACAGATAACCAGGCCCACCGACCCAGCAGCCCCACACATTCCCCAGTGCCACTGGAGGAGCTGGAGGGGGTGGTAAGAAGACAAAAAGAGGAGCCTAGTGGTGGAGGCGAAGCAGGGAGTGTGGCACCCACCTGGCTGGGTGGTGGTGGTGGCGGGTAGGGGGGTGCTGGTGGTGGTGGTGGTGCTGGTGGTGGTGGTGCTGGTGGTGGTGCTGGTGGGTGTTGAGGTGGTGGTGGTGGTGGTGGGTTTTGCAGTGGTCGTTTTTGCAGTGGTAACCCGCTGCGGTCGCTCAAACGCTAGCAAGCAAAGAGAAGAGGTGGGAGGCACTTACTGACGGGGCGTGGAAGGGTTTCTTTGCCAGCCTGTGAGGCTGCTGCTGCTCAGGCTGAACTGGTGACCGATTTCTCAGCGTGGTTACAACTGGGGCACCGGGAGGTTTCTGAGGATTAAGGCGATGGCGGCCTGATGACGCTGGATGCAGCCAGCGCTGCGTGCGTGCGTGCAGGGGCTGGAGGCTGTGGCCGTATCAGCTTACTCTGTTGGTGCAGATATTGGCTTAAATACTTACAGCTCTATCATAAACTAATTGCCAATTAAGCTCAAAAAGGGGAAAAGAAAGCACGCCTTGGAGAGGAGGGAAGAGCAGGGCTCGCAGGCCGCCCTGCCTGAAGGTGGGCTCGCGCTCGCTGACGTCTCCGTGCCAGATGGCAGAGCCGGGCCTACCCCAGCGTGGCGAGCAGCACAACTCCCTCCTGACCCCCCAAAGGCGCTGAGCCACTCAGCACCGGCGATATCAACCCCTGCTGTCGCCGTTTGTTCATTTCCACTGGCGTCCTTCGTTCCACACGGCAAATTAATTGCTGGCTTAACTTCAGCAAGTCGCCGCGGCGCTGAGCAGGAGCGCTCCGGGGTGCGGTGCCCGTCGCATCGCGCTTGCCGTAACAGCCGTGACTAAAATACCATGTGGAGCACAAATTCCTGCTTAACTTACACCTGCTGCCCCTGTGTCCTTGTTTGTCCCACTGCTTCATGCAGATTATTGTGCTTAATTTCATAATAGCCCTGAGCTAGTTTAAATACTTAATTTAGGTCACTTCTAGTCTCCTATGCAAGCTAAATAATCTCTCCTTAACTGGCCTTGGTTACAAATCCCTCCTGTCTGCTTTCTGCACATTGCTCTAAGCACACCCCCAGCTTCATCCTGGCAGAAAATTTTGATGGGAAACATTTTCCAGTGAAACAAATGCAGAGCTGAGAATGCCAAGCTGTGTAAAAGGGAGAAAGAATTGCCAAAATGTTTTTGACCAGAAAAGCAAAGAATATTTTGGACTGTTGGAGCATTTTTTTTTTAATCCTAAATTCCTTAAGGGAGACTCCTAGTTTTTTATTTGAAGCTTTTAAATGTAATTACTCAAAATCTAAATATGGTTCATTTACCCAGAAAAACCGTCCTCCAGTTTTCAATGAGGTGCATTTTTCTTAATTGCATATGAATTTATCTGAAAGTATTCCTCCTCCAATTCTTTCCACTTGCCTGCAAACTAAGAACCCGGTATTCATTCAGCTCTACGATTTGTTTCTTCTGCAGGCCTAATTCTGAGCCACAAAACTCAAACCCAAGCTTCCTTGCCCCAAACTCAAGGCTCTTTGATAACAAACTACCTCCAGCTTTGTTAAATACGGAGTCCTGTTATTCCATCAGTCTTTCAAGAGAAATCCCTCCTGAGCTCCCCACTCTTTGCTGCAGACACTTCGTAGACATATGTTCATATACATACACGTGTCGTGTACATACAGACACACACACACTGTATATATATTTTTACAGATAGGCCAAGGTGACCCAGCCTGGGTGCTATGCCAAATAATTCAAACCCAGCTCCTTCTCAGAGCAGAAGTCTGCAGTACTGGGGGGAAAAGTTCACAGCAAGCACTGGTGTTTTTGAAGAGTCTTTTTTTATTTCCTTTCCGGCTGCCATTCTAACGAACCTCATGGGGGGAAACCATGCCAGAGGAAGAGGCAAAATGAGGCTACTGAAGTCAAAGAAAGAAAATATAAGACTCTTTGACAGAATGGAAAATAAGGCACAATTAGGGAAGACTTATTGCCTGGAAAATGATAATGGACAGAAAATAACCATTTTTTTTTTCCTAGTAACATCCACAAGGACCATGCACCGAGATGTTAAATGCCAGCATTTCAGTTATGTTTTTACTTACTGCCAAAGGCTGAGCCTGCAGCTGCACCTGGAAAAAAACAAGAAGTGTGGTCACTGGAAGCAGGATGCCGTTGTCTCTGATACCAACAGAAGATCAAACAGATAACACAACGTGGGACCAAACAGCAATTAATTAGCAGGGGTCTTGCTCATAGTTACATCAGTTTGCTGCAACATCTTAAAAAGCTGCTTTTGTCAGACCACAGAGACAACCAGACAGAGCCGTCTGGGCTCTTGGTACCTCAAGCCTTTTGCCTGGGGAAGAAAAAACCAGCTTGGTCCTGGCTGATAGGTTTTTCTGTTAACCATTTCCTCAACCTACTATTGAGGCCCAGCAAAGGACAAAGCACACTGAGGTTCCCTGTGTAAGTACAGACCGTAGGGTCTGAACCAGCTTGTTGCAGCTGGGCAGGTCTCAGTGAGTGGGGAGGTTTGAACGCCCTTCTCGCTGCAGATCTCAATCAGCAGGAGACTGCAAAGCCACTGGTTTCAAGCCTGCCACTCAAGGTGTGGAGGCATGGGAAGCTTCAGCTTGGCAGGAATATGTAGCAGAGGGCCAGTGGTGGAAGAGGTAGGACCACCAAGAGGAGAGGACTACGGAGAACGATCTCTCCTGCAGAGGAAGAGGATGTCAACGGGGGAGGAGGAGGTAAGAGTGAGAGTTGGGGGAAAGATAGAAGACTGACAGATGGGAAGAGAGATGAATGGGAGAAAAAAGAGCACAGGAGAAAACGAAATAGGAAGAGACACGAGGAACGGAGGGGAGGGAAAGGGAGAGAACAGCATGTCTGTGCCTGTCAACACCAGAAACTCTCCCAGGCTCCTTTGAAATGATGCAGCCGCTTGGTGGTAGCTGACAAGCTCGTTCCCTTTCAAAGAACCTGCTTGTCTACCATCCCTGGCACACACAAAACATTCCCGTCACGGCCTTCGGAGCCTGAGTTTCAGCTTTGATCATCTTAAAGCACATAAATCTTTCAAAAAATTTGGGGGGAGGGAGGGAAAAGATTCTCTTTGGTAATGCTCAAAGCCGCTGCTTGAAAGGCTGAAGGGGCTACTGTGGCTCCGTGACATTTAAACAAGTCTGCTGATGTGGACCGGACAGAAACCCAGGAGAAACTGGCCCATCTGTGATGTTTCCTGCCCCAATTCCCCTGCTCGAACGATGGTGGGTATATATCCTTTATCTCATCTGCGCGCCTTTGCTTCTGTCACTGCGTTGCTACAGCAGGCAATTGGATGAGACTGGAGCTGCGCAGAGGGACTGCAGCTCTCGGCGCCTGCCTGAAACGCTGATGTACACAGAGGGGGATCCAGAAATCAACCAGGATATCCAGCGTGCTGCTCTCCTGCAGCTGAGCAGCACCATCACTGAGCTCATGGGCTATGTGAAAGCCAATGCTCTACGGCGGCCAAATAATATTTTCTCCAAGGGACAGTAATTCGCATCGCTACAAAGCCACAGACTTACGTTTTGGCCCATACTTGTACAGACACAGACAAAGTCATCACTCATCTGCTGCTAGCTAAGAAACCACCTTTGTATCCACCCGGCTCACCTCTTATTTCTCTGTGCACCAGGACACAGATACTCATTTCCCTTCCCAAACACCCTGCAGAGCTACGCGCTGATTTGAGGAAGAGAAGAAGATGAGAGCTTGCTCCCATCCATGGGTGTTGTGCAGCCCAAGGTGGCAGCACAGCCAGGGCTGGCTCCCTGCAGGTTACTTACATGCGTTGGGGGACCCGTTGGGGAGAGGCAGGTAGGATCCTGCTCGCCAAGACCTGGAGCGAAAGTTCTTCTTGCACTTGCCGCAGTCCTGCCCCGTGGTGTTGTGCTCACACTCGCACTGAAGGCTGCCCTCTTTGAAGGTGCACAGGTTAGCGTGGAGGTTGCATTTACACCTGGAAGAAGACGGGAGAGGAAGTGTCAGGTATTGCTGTGCCTTGTCCTTGTCCCAGTGTAGTGCAATCGGTGCGTATGAAAACGTAGAGGTGAAGCTGGGCTGGCTGCCCCTCTCCTGTTCCTTCTACAGGTTTTTTTCCACTGAACTCTGCTGTTTTCCCAGGGTATCTGGTGCTGGGGTTACGATGCCCAAGGTGGATCTGCAGCCTCTATTCCAAGACAAGAGATACTTTGCTCCCACCATCCAGCTGTGGTAGCAGAGACCATTTAATGGTAAGTCAGAGTCTCCATCTGAGACCCCAGTAAAGCATTGCATATGTTTCAGTCTGTTACAGAAACCTGGCTGCTCTGCTCTGATGCAGGCTTTTATTGGAGGCAGAGGGGACAGCTTTGGGCTTTCAGATGGAAGAGCACAGATAGCTCTGGTGCAACTCAACCCCCTGACACCTGCACAGTGTGCTAAATTCAAGAGCGTTTTCTCCTGTGGGGTGAAGCTACACAACACAAACCCTTTCTGCTACATGCAGTGCAACCCCAGCCCGCTATGCCCAAATTAATCCAGAGAAAAAGCTGCCGTCAGAACCTGCCTTTTAGTCACCGCCTCATCGGAGAAGGCAACAACGAAAAACACTGTTCAGCAATTCGCAAGCATTAAGAAACTTTTAATGAGCTGTAGGGCAGTATGCAGGGAATAATTATCTCCATGCACAGTAATTCCTGTTGCTCTAACTCGGGAGGTGACTTGTGCAGAGCACAGAGGCTGAGCCCATAATTCACACGTGGCTCTATCGACTCCTAGGACTTAGTTCAGGCCATCAGGCAGGGACTACGGGGACCAAAACCTCTCATTTCATTCCAGACAGTGGATCCCTAGCACAGCATGATGGTTTTTCACTGCTTTGTCTGTGGTGTAATAATTTACATCCTCACAAGCAGAACCATTAGAAAACAGTAATGCTGTACCTAACGTGAACGGGCAGAGGAGTCTGACCAGGCAGTGTGCTGCTTTGCGGGGCTAATTGCACAAGAGACTCAGAGCTGAGGGAAATGAAACACTTGCAGAGAATATGAAGGAAACGTGGCCTGTTTCTTCTTGTGCTCTATCTGCTCGGGGATAAACAAAGTGGATTAGGCTGGGAGCTGTAAGCAGGGTCCCTTCCCGGCTGCTGGCGCTGCGCATGCGCTTGGTGCCTCTCCCCCTCTGCTTGGAGCCCCCACGGAGGCTCCCAGCCGCCGTCCTGATGTGGTGAGCACGCCTTTGCCGTGCTCCCGTTCACGCATGGCTGGACATGCTGACCTCGCTTAGGATTTTTTCTTTCCTCCCTCCCTGGCCTTAATTCTAGCAAACCGCAGTTGGAGCTAAGCGTAAGCTGGATGAGCAGCCTCTCCCCATCGTACAGCCCTGCCCGTCTCTGACCAAGCACGGAAGGGAGCTTTGCGGTCTCTAAAAAGGATGAGGAAAGCGAATCGGGTCTGTGGAGCAGAGGCTGTGACACGCTCAGCACGCTCCATTGGTGTCTGTGTGCTACCAGAGCTGGAGGTGCCGTGTCACGGCCGAAAGCACTCGCAACACCCCAGCACCCCTGCTCCGTGCACACACTGTGGACCTGAGCAGCCATGTGAAGGAAGCAGCTTTGGCCATCACCCACACCCGAGGGATGCTGTACTTCAGCCGCTTCGTGTCCCCTCTGCCTCCCATGAGGACGGATTTTGGCCGAGCTGTCCCAGCCCTTTGGCAGAGGTGATGCCCAGCCCTCGGCTGCTGCGGAGCCTGGCTCTGAATTATTCAGAGTCCAGCAAACACAGCCTCCTTCTCTTGCTTCAAAATTAGCTAACAGGAGGGGAGGGAGGGGAGCAGGCAAGGGAACAGGTTAAAGCAGGTCAGAGCTTCACCACAACCACATCGGGCTCTGAGTCAGAGCAACAGCTTTGGAGAGCCATAGCTGAGCTCCTCCTGCCCCTGCAAAGGTGCCTGCCTGCTCCTGTGCCAGCAAGCACAGCTTTTACAGGGAGAAGCCTCACTCCCTAATTGGTGTAAACAAGGAAAATGAAATAAAGAGAAAGCAGAGGCAGTCTCTTGTCCTTCTTGCCTGGGTCACCTATTTCTCACTGCTCAGCCTGTTGCCACTGTGCAAAAGTTTTCGTTATCCAAAGGATCAATTTTACCAGGGAATTGCTTTCTGGTTTCAACCTCTGAGGATCATCAATCTGAGCAGAGAACTATAACCCCAGCAAGCTGACCCCACAACACAGCACTTTTCAGACCAATCAATCAGGCTGCATTATTTAATAGCCAACAGCTGGCCCCCATCGCCAATCCCATCTCGCTCAAATGTTTCTGCATCCGGGCCTCCCTGCTGCTTGTGCTCAGCGTTAACCCCCTTCTCCAGGCTTCTCTGCCTCCTCCTCTGGGCCTGCAGCCCAAGGACATGTGCTCGCTGACGGTCTGTGCTCAGCAGCATTCCCCAGCCAAGATCCAGCTGGTGAAGATGGGAGAAAATGATATTAGCCCAGTCCCCTGGGTGGGAGCTGCGCGTCCTGCTTGCCTCTGCTCATCTTCCTCAGGCATCCAGCCATCTCGGGAAAGAGAGGATGAAGGGAAAGGTTAGGAGCTGCTTAGCAATGAGGCTTAAAGAGCAGCAGCGGGGCAGACACCTGCGCTGTGTGCTGCAGAAGGCAGTGATGGCCTTTTCAGTCCCAGGCTGCTCTGGCTCCCCTCTCCCTGCAGCAGGGTGCTCAGGCTGAGGCAGGGGGCTCAGAAGAGCTGCTAGTTTTTGTCCTCTCCAGCTCTGGTTCAAGAGTAGCAATGGTGGCACTGGTTCTTGGTGCCCACATATGGTTCAGATGTCGTGGGTGACAGCGTGGAGGAGAGCAAATCCAGCAGGAGCCACAGCACCCACAGGCACGCTCCCTGGCCTGGGGACACCCAAGTCCCACGCTGGGCTGTTGGAAGGTGACACACAACTGCCTTTTGCATTAAACACCTGGCTCACCCCGTGCCTCAGCAGAAGTTGCCAGAGCAAAGCTTGGCCCAACACGTTGCACAACGGGGTATTTATGAGTTTATCCTCAGTGCAGGTCGTTCAGCTGCTGCCTTCCCCTCAAAGTGGTGCAGTGTGGTCGGAGGCTGCCAATGCCTCCACCAGGGAACAAGGAGCTTGAAGAGCCAAGGAAAGTTTGCAGGAAAGTATCTTTTTTTTTTTTTGTCTTCTTCTATTTTTTTTTTTAAACGATCGTAAAGAACAGTTCACCGTCCCTGCATTTCTCCAAGTCAGCATCCTGGAGGTCACAGCAGCAAGCGGTTGGAAGCATTCTGGTGCCAAGCCCGTATGCAAGGGAAGGATGTGGCCCCGTGCAGGCTCAGAGAGGAGGCACAGCCTGCAGGTGAGTGCTGCAAACCCCCAGGAGCCGCACTGGGAGTGGGACAGCAGCCACCACCCTGAGCCTTTCACTCACAATGACTTTTGAAATAATTTTTAAACACTTGTGAGCCCTTCGCTTTTCTTCCAAGGGTCCTTATCTGTTTTACAACCTTTTTTTTTTTTTTTTGGTCCATACCTGCGTTTTGCAGAACAGGAAATGTAGGCAGAGAAAGACAAAGAATATCTCTGTTTGTCTTCTTCCCGAACTCCTTGCTAAAGAGACACTTTTTTGGACAGCCACTACAGTGGGCCACTACCTCCCTTTCCAAGTCTCCCTCCAGTCCAGCCCATGCCATGATCTCCACCCCGTGCTTGAAGGGAGGATGCTGCTGCAGGGCCAGGTGGCCCGGGGACACTGCAGGGTCCCCTCTTGCTGGCTCCCAGGTCACAGGACTCCTGCTCTCCCCCCCCACCGATGCTCTGGGCTGGCAGCGGTGCCCCCCTGCTCCCTTTCAGCTAACCCCAGCTGGCACTGGGGGGAGGCAGCTCACGGGGAAAGCTGCTAATGACTGCCATCCAAAGGAAGGATTATGATAGCTTTCCCCTGAATTGTTTGCTCTCACTGTAATTGATGAGACTTTAATGAGTCTCATGGGAAGATGTGTTTGAAGGGAGCTCTTTCCCTTCCATCCCTGAGGAAAATGGTGTTTCAACTGATCTCAGCTCTCAGGGAAACATGAATAACTCTTCCCTCCCTCTCTCTATTGTTGTCCCCAGCCATTGCTTGCAGCGTGCTCCGGCAGCTGGCTGGCCACAACTCACCCACTTTTACCTGCTCCTTTGCAACCGTCTTGGCAGCTCAGCAAAAGCATGGAGCCAATCTTTTGGGCAAAGCATAACGGGTGCTGAGCTTGGATTGCTTCTGGGCCATCTGTGTGTGCAAAAGTAAGTTAAAATCGCTTCTAAAGGCCAGAACGTGTACAAAGCACCGTCCCTTTGCGGAGGGTGGTCACAGGACTCGCCTTGCTGGGGATCGCTCAGGCAGAGGCTGGGCCAGAGCAGGGCTGAAAGGGCCTTGCCAAGCACAGAACGGGGCAAACACGGCTCATTCATCCCAGGAGTGGAGCTGGGAGAGTAACTGAGCTGTGGTTCAGAGCCTGAATGGGGAGGATGAGCCATCTTAATGCACTGTTCCTTTCAGCGCAAGCCAGCGAGGGAGGCTTCTGGGTTTTGCTGCTTTTTGCAGAGCCAAAAAAATGAGAAAAAAAACCTCCTTGGGTTAGGTCAGAGGGACATGTTGTGAGTGGTTTCTTTTCCTTGTGGGTTTTTGTTTTTGGTTGTGTGGTGGGGACTGATGAGTCCTCCCGGTGGGGAGGAACCCTGCTCGCTGCCCTTTGAAATGATTTGAGGTTTGGGTTACAAAGAGGAGACAATTTAAAAGATGCCAAAGTGGAGAGCATGCTAGCTGGCTGTTCCCATTCGAGAGGCTATTTATTTTAAATAAGTTGACACTCACCAGCTGTCAAGATCCTGCTGACTGGTGGAACATTATTTACATTCAAAGCTGTCTTAAAAAGCAAACACGAACCCAAGCTTCCCCATCAGGGGGTCGGGCAACAGAAGGGAGGAAGGGTGAAGAGGACATCACACGGATACATGAACATAAATATTTGCAGAGTAATGTGTATAAATGCTCTTGGTCTTTCTCCTGGAATGCAATAATGCCTGCAATTGAGTTCATTGGCCAAATTGAATTTGGGCTCCTGTAGAAGTCTCTTCATATTAAGTGCTTTAACATACATCACCTTCTCAGTCTATCGATGAAATTCTATTATCTGCTCAGGGCCGGACGCAACTCGGCAACAAAATCGGGGGGGAAATAAAAATCTTCACAAAACTAAGCCAGGAGCTGGTAATAGGACCTTGGGCATCTGTCTCCGGCTATTGACAAAGTGTCACAAGTATCTCGGGGAGGGGGGAGCTCTCTGGGTTTCTCCCTAACTGCCTCCCTTCCCCTCCACCTTGCTGCAGTGGAAGTAAAACTCTTCACAGAACTCAAGAAAAGCCAAGCAAAGAGTTGCTATGCATTAACTTAATTTAACTATATGACCAAGAGCAAGATTTTGCTTGAACTGAAGCTAATTCCAGCCTGGGTGAGTGCCAGGGAAATTCATCCTTCCAGCTCTCGGGGGCTGCCCAGCGTGGAGGCGAGGACGGGCCGAGGACCGCGTTGCCGTTGGCGCAGACTTGGCCGTCCTTGACACGAGGATGCCATTACCTCCTGGGACCCGATGCCTGGCTGCCAGGAGCTGCGGGGACAGGCGTGGGCTGTCCTTGTCCTGGTTTTCATGGTGTTCCCGAAGCTGCTGAGCATGGACAGCGGCTGGCTGGGAGCTGCAGATGTGCTGGGCCAGTTCTCAGGGGATGTTTGGGTGGGCCCGTGGCTTGTTTTGGGGTCACACTCCTGCAAATGGGGCTGGGCATGATCAGCTCTGGAAAATCCATGCTCTCACAGATCATTGACCTGAGGTCCCTGCCGTGGCCCCTTTCTGCAATGCAGCAGCCATGCAGCCACCAGGTCCTATCCCATCCTCACAGAAAGGTGCTCAACGTGGGCATCAGTCATTATGCAAAATCTAATTGTCTCTGCAAAAGACTGCTGAACATATTTGTGTCATTTCTTCCTTTTAGAGACGGTCTTGTTGGACAAGTCAAGACTGCAAACCTCTATGGCTAGATGCCCTCCAACAAATTCATCAAGGTTGATGAGAACGAGGAACTTCCAAGCAAGGCAGAGCAGCCTGGGGACAGGCACCCTCAGCTCAAGCCGAGCTGTGACCACAGGGGGAAGCAGGCTGATGGAACTGCACTGGTTTGGAGGACAGAAGCACGAGGCAGCCTCTGGGCTGAGCAGGAGCTGCTCATCTTTAACAGCAAAACAGCACTGAGCATCACTGCATCTCCACAGAGCTGCTGAGAAGGCAGAAAAGGGTACGGTGTGTGGGCACCACTGACAGCTAACCAGCTCGATTTATTGGCGGAGGTGCTTTGGGGGATAGCTGTGATCCTCCAGGGCTGGAGTGCCTGATCCCAGCCGTTGATGCCAAGATAAAGGGCTGGGAGAATTCGTTCTGCTCCACCAGCACAACCTCACTGCTCCCACTCATGCGGAGAGTGAAGCCTCTCGGAGCACATCTGCAAGCACAGCATCGGGACTGCTAGAGGGGAAAGCAGGGGAGACCAGAGGGCCTTTCCCTTCAGCTCATTTGTGAGAGCAAAAAAGATGCCAGTGAAACCCTAACAAAAGCAGTCGGTGAAGGGAGTGAAAGAAATACCATTAAAAAAATGGAAACCTCTTCTTGTTGGTGCCTCTTTGACCTGAGCAAATCCCAGAGGTGTGGGTCTGCTTGGTGGTGAGTATTGCTGCCTCCTCCTGCCTTTCTCTGGGGATGCTCATCACCGGCAGGACAGACAGACAGAGCATGCACTGGAGCAGAGGAGGGCAAAGGAGAAAAATCTTAATAATCAGCCTAAAATTGATTCACTTCTGCTCAATCTGATTTCTCCTAACTGGATCCATGTGTCCTGGCCATGGCACATTAACTTCAATTATGGCTTATTAATGTCTCTGTGATGGAGCGTGCCCCGCTGAGCACTGCGGTGACTGACGTTATGAAGGGGAAAAAATTACTCCAAAGAGACGTGGTGTGTAATGGAAACAGAACCGGTGGCTTTCATCACACCGTCCGCCAGGCTTGGCAGCCAGGAAAAGCTCATTCACCTGCTCTCGAGAAGATGACCGAGCTCGTTGCTGCACCAAGCAGAAAACCGAGCAGGGAACTGAGATCTGCGGGGAAAAGTCTCTCTGCTTCCCCTCCCCATCGCGCCTGGCACACGCACAAGCACACAGGCCAAGGGCTTGCTTGTGTCTATTCCTGTCCTGACTCCTCTGTATCTCCAGTTACTCTGCAGATCAATAGGGACAGGATGTAAGGAAAAAAAAAAATTAGATACCAAGAAGAAGAAAGACAGTAAAAATAAACTCATCCCTGGACAAAGAAAAGGACCTGGCTGAGGTTGCAGGAGATGCGGATGGAGTGGGTAAAGGAAGCCCTGAAGCAGCAGCCCACTGCACCAGCACCCAGCTGTGACCCTCAGGACCCACCAGACCCTCCGGAGATCCTGCCAACCTCGAGCCCCCTCTGATCCAGCCTACAGGAGGGGGGAAGGCAGCAAAGTCCTTCCCCTTCTCCCCATGTCCTTTGCTCCTTCTCTCTCTCCTTTTCTGCCAAGCTGTGGGAGGTTGTGGTGAGGCAGTTTTCCTTGGTGAAAAGCAGAGGGGCAAAGAAGGGGGGTCCCAGGCTGGCCCAGGGGATCAGAGAAACCCCACAGGACCCTCCAGCTGGGGCTGTAGCATGAGGAACCCCCTGGGCTCATGGTCTGCTCTGAGAGCAGTGAGCTTTTTTCTTCCCTTGACCTGTGAACTTCAACTGGAAATGAGCTGCCACAAGTCCCTCATCGCCGTGCAGGCACTGATGGCTGTCTGCCCAAATCCTGCTGCCGTGCAGGGGCTCGAGCAATGCCACACGTTGCTTCTCCAGTGCCATGGGCCACGACCATGCTCTGCTCCTCTGCTGCCACACACTACAGCCGAGCACCGCTCCTCTGCCAGCCCTGGGCTGCTTGCAGCTCCTGGTCACTGGTTCCTCTGCTCTCCAGCTGGGACTTTCTGGCTGCTTTTTGCCTTTGAGCCTTTATTTCTTCGTAATCATCTTCCCTCTCATTTTCTGTGACCCCTGTGGTGAATCCCTAACAACACACCCCATTTTATCTGCACACTCTCTTCCCACTGCTCATATGCGGTCTGTGCTCGTGGGCTGCAAGAGGCATTGCACGTCCCCAGCCCTCCCCACTCTGCCTCAGCCCTTTCCTGAGTAGCTCACATTGATTTCTCCTCTCTTCCTCTCTCTAACCCACCCCTTGTTGAGCCACACAGAAGATTTAATTTGGTTTTAGTCCCTGCACTGTAACTGGCTTTGCTTACAGCTCGAATTAGATTGCTTTCCTGCAAAAAACCTCTGCTTGCTGGGACTGGAATAATCACAGGAGCAGAGTGAATTCACACAAAGCTTCTCCACCTCACACACCACTTATCCACAGCTCCTCAGTCACTCGCCCCTTGGTGCTGGGGGAGTCAGCCCAGGACAGGCATCGACTCCTTCCCTGTCTGCCTGTCCAGGAGGAGCAATCCCCTCTCTCAGGAGCCTGCAGCAAGCGGGGAGAGCCGGAGCGGGGTCAAGCTGGGCCTTGCTATAGCTCAGCACTTGGAGTTTGGGCCAGAAGCAGGTGATTTTGGAGTTTTCTTTGTCCCCAGCCAAGGAAAGCCCTCTCCTCCCAGAGGCCCTGCTGCATTGGCAGTGGAGGCGAGCAGGAGCCGCTGCTCTGCAGCAGCCGCGGGCAGCTGGCCACGCGGGCGGCGTGCCAGCGCCGGAGGGAGGCCTCCAAAAAGCAGCCAGCAAACCCGAACCCCTCTCGGTCTGGCCCCAGCAAAAAATGCAGCATTGCAGCTCCCACCAGACGCTTATGGTCTGAGCATCTTCGCCACTGCTATCCCAGGGCTGCAGGTGGCTGTGGAGGCTCTGATGTCTCGTAGAGGTTGTGCTGCCCCCTCCCCTGCTTTCGTCCCCTGCTGTATTTGCCTCTTTTCACAAATCTGTGGGGGTTTTCTCTCTCATAGCAATCTCTGCTGCTATTATATGCTATTAAATTTGGCCAGTGAGTTCAGAAGATGGTGGGGTTTGGAGGCAGGGGGGGAAGGAAGACAACTGACAGCCAGCAAGATGCTGAGTTATGGAGGATCTCACCAGCACAGCCAGGAACTAAAAGTGCTGAAGGGGCACATCCTGCCCAAGGCACGTAGAAAACGTAAAGGACTCTGCAGAGACAGACATCCATGGGTCACCAGCACCAACATCTGCTATACCATATACTTACAGCTCTATTCTACCATGCACCTTAAAGCATCAAGCATCCCAGAGGTTCTGTGGGTATGGTAATGGCCTTCGTTACCTGCACAGCACGCCTGGGTTTTATCCGTGCTCGGAAGCCAAAGGTCATTGCACAAGGGCATCAAATATTTAATCAATTACCACTTTATGAACTGGAAACTCTGCATCCCTGTTACAACCCTGAAGTCTAACCGGTCCTAATGAACTGGCACAGCACCTCCACCCCTCTGACAGCCCCCGTCAGCCAGGCTGTGAGCTGGTTACTGCAGCCTTTCCACTGCTGTCACCAACACCAAGGAGCTGCAGTATTCAGGTGAGAGGGAAGGTGACACGCTGGCCTTTTTCCCCTTCTTTACCTGCTTTTCCTTCCTTTCACTCTCTGCTCTGCTATTTTGCCCCATCCTGAGCTGCTCCAAGGAATGGATAGTTAGCACACAGAGGAATACAGGCCGGGAGAGGCGGCTGCTCGTCTCTGCCTGTGACTACTCTGAAAAAGCGGACGAATCCGCTCCCAGCACCCTGCTGCCCTTCCCACCACCCCCTGCCGAAAGAAAGGGCTCTTCCATCCCACTGCTGCCGCTTCCTTTCCCTTGGAGCGCAGTCAAAGCCGGCCTCAGTGGCACCTGCAAAACAGTTTCGCTTGCAAGTCTCAGAAGCAAGCAGTTTGGAAACGATACAAACGGGTCCTCTGTCGCTGTGGTGATCCTTGTTAGCAGGGGTGGGTGATGGGGAGATTTTTCCCCTCTCGCCTCTAAGTCTCACACAAGCTGAATCCACAAGCTGGATGGGAAATCAGCCATCTCGGCATTTTTCCACCTTACTTTGCTTTTTCGGTTGATGTCATAATGTAACATATGGCATTGTACAGAGAAACGAAAAACAAAAACCAGGAGAAACAAACCCCCTCCTGCCTTCCCTGCCCCAGATCTGTCGCTGGGTTTAGCCTCACCCCCAAACCTCTTTCATCTGAGACAGGGCTGCTCTGGGGGTACAGGGCTGAGCCAGGATGACTCATGCTGCTTGTACCACCCGTGGAATGGGGTGGAATGGGGAAAGCCTCGTTCCTCACCCCCAGATCCTCTAAACAACCCCTGAGATTTTTAGGCAGAGGCTGCCCACGTTTGCACAGCAGGGGACAGGGTGAACAGGGGACAGAGGGGAACAGGAATCTGGGAGGAAACTGAGATCTGACTGTCCATTCCCTACACCACACTGGGAAGGACATAGTCCTTTTTGGACACCCCCATGCTATCCTCAGAGGTGCCTGAACCATTCCCTGCAAGGTCACATCTGTTTTATTACTAGTGCTGCCTGGTTTGGAAGAGAGGGACTTAGAGGAAGAAACACTGATAATCTCATCGGTTGACATTGACCCTGATGGCTCAGTTTTCTAGCAGTAACCCTCTTCTCATCCCTCCGAGAAGAGCTACCCAAAGAAACACAGTGGCTGTTACCTGCCAGTGACTTCAATGTTGGAGACAGCGTAGAAGTACTTGTACAGGTTCTCCCTCTGCACGTAGGTGCCCCCCAGGGCTGGCCTCAGCAGCCTCATCCTCAGGTCAGTCACGGTGAAGAAGTCCTTGAGCCCTTTGGCGCTCTCCAGCCGGGTGTACAAGTTGTCCATGTTCTTGAGGTCGGGGCCAGCAAAGATGGCAAAGCGGTCCCTCACCTCGAACCGGACAGTCTTCTCCTTTTTGGATCCCACCCAGCGGGAATACTCCTCCGTGCAGAGGACCCTGTTGGCACTGGTGGTGGAGAGGTCCCGGACCCTCCGCGCTGGCATGCTGAAGGCCTCCATGCAGTCATCTGCGTAATACTGGTACGGGTGCCAAGTCCTCCCGTTGTCCAGCGACTTCTCCAGCATCATGATGGTGGGCCGGCCGTACTCGAAGGTTATCACGATGTCGTCCGTCAGCTCGATGCTCTTGTTCCAGGACAGCGTGATGTTGGCCAGCAGTGGCTCCGGGTACCGGCGCCACGTCACACTCTGCCAGTACGTGGCCAGCCCTTCGTCCTCGCTGTCGAACATGAGCTTGGGCGGGTGGGCCAGGTCGGGGTTGGAGGCATCGCACTCGTCGCTGCACAGGTACGGGTTCTCCTGGAACAACAACAATGGTCACGAGAGAAGGCAATGCCTGGGCACCGTGTGGGCCACGCAGGGGTGACCGAGCTTGCAGCCAGACCCTGCTTGCCCCCGTTCCTGCTTTTGTCAAAATGTTAACTGCTTGGCTGAGCTGGAGTGTGCTGGGGGCCTGGCTCTGCATGATGCCATTTCTGAGAATGAATTTAAGACAGAAATGTGTAGCTTTGCCTTTGCCATGAGAATAGCCGAGTTGTTTCCTCCGAAAGGCCCTTTGGGAGAGGGCCCTTCAATTTGGCACAGGGGCAATTTTCATAGAAAGCGTTTTCCCTGAGACCTTCTCTTAGAAACTTCACTTTAGCTTGGCCGAGTTACAAGCCCGTGGAAAGCCACATGCACGCCTGCTTGCTCACAAGAAGGGAACGGCTCAGTCCCCAGACACAGCCACACCAGGCACGTCCATGCCTCCACCGGCTCCTGACTCTGACTAGGGTGGTCAGACACCATTCCCCAGGCTCTCTGAGGGTGGCCCAGCACTGCTGGAGAGGGGAAGCCCTATTTCCCTGTGCCCTGAGCTGGGATGGGACTGGGCTGTAGGGCAGAGAGCAGAGGTTTGTGCTTGTGGTGTCTCTGCTGAACCCCCAGGCCACCGCAGGACAAAATGCTGGCCTTGGGGACAAGTGTGGCAGGCATGCTGTGGGCTGCATCCAGCCAGCCCAATATGATAACCATTTCTGGTGACTCTTCAGCTTGATAACGGGGTTTTCTGTGCTGATGGGCACATTGCTCACCTGTGTGCATGTTAAAGTCCTTCATTACAAGCTGGGGTTTCTCCTGCCCTGCAGCCCCTGTCTGCAGGGTGGAGTGGTGTGGGCCAGGCCTGCCTCAGGGATGATGCGGGGATGTGTTATCGCAGGTGTACTTTTCAGATTTTGACCCCTGAAAAGCCCTGCATGGCCCCACACAGCAAATCTTTGTTATATGCAAAGTGTTTCTTTGCCTCATACTGTCTCCCTACCTCCCAAAACCCAAACCCAGAGGATGGGGAAGGAGAGGGCCTGGTATGGCACCAGGCTCAGCTGGGGCCGGGCCTCTCATCACAGAGGGAGAGCCACCTGGCACCAAGGAGGTGATATGAGGAGGTGATAAAGCAGCTGGAGGTGCTTGGGGCTGATGCTTGGAGGTGAGCAGCCTGCAGGAGTGTGAGCCCTGGCCGTCCTGAGCACAGCGGGTCTGCAAGGTAAGATCGAGAGTTATTCTATGTTTTTGTTTCTGAATGTTTTGTGCGTGGTCTGGAGCGAAGGGTGCTGTATGCAGGAGCTGTGCTGATGATGGTGTTGGAGGTTTAAACCCTGTGAGGTGCAGGGGCCGTGGCAAGCTGGCTGTGTCCTGGGGCTGGGACATCCTTGGTTGGCACTGTGAGCAGGGGGAAGCCTGTGGAGAGGCTGCTCATGTGTCTGTAGCACTGATCCTGTGCCAGGGGCTTGCTCTGACCTGCAAAGCTGATGGAAGTGCTTGTGGTCTGATTTATGGTGCTCTGGGCAAGGCAGAGGAGGGGAGACCTGGCTCCCACAAGTGGGGACTCATGGGTGTAATGTGGGGACTGGGGCTGTGCCTTGAATGTGGATGCTGATGTATAATGTGAGGTACTTTGGAAAATCTGGGGTTTGCCATCTCCAGCTGGGCTACCAAACGCACTAGGAGCTGCCTAGGGCTGTCTCCGCTCTGCATCTGTAAAATGGGCTTTTTGCCTCCCCATGGCTCAGAGGCGTGCTGGGTACAAGCGAGTGGAGGCCACAGCGCCGAGAAGCCTAGAAAAGCTCCTGAGGGCATAAATAATTCTGTCTTTTAAGCAGCGTTTGGGTAGCGTGCTGCAAGTAAGGCAGCTCCACGAGCAGAAACAGCGAGCAGCTGATCTGTACGTGAGCACCAGGCTGCTCTGTGAGGGATGAAGCAGTGCCTGTGGGGAGGGGGGGGCTCCTGTAAATAAAGCGTGCCTTGCTGCATGCGTGCGCTAAGCTGCCAGGGAAAGCAGCAGAAACCAGGGGGTGAAAAGCAACAAAACTCGTACTGTTTCCAACATGAGCTCAACCTCCTGACACAGCCCCAATTGCAGTGATGTGTGGCTTTTGCCATCTCCTGTGTGTGCGGGGAGAGGAAGGGGCTGTGGCTGGAGCTGCTGAGCCCCAATGCGGTGCGTGCACGTCCCCCTGAGCAGAGAGGGCACTGGATGGATGCTTTGCTGGGTGTTTGGTTATTTTTCACTTGCAGCTGTACCAAGTGAGTGAGGGGCATGGATGATGTGCTCAGACCTGCATGGGTGGGTCAAGTTGTGGGGTAAGGGCACCTGTCTGGTGTTCCCTTCCCAAAGGAAGATGTCCTGAGCAAGGGCAGATGGGAGCTGGGGGGCCTCTCCTGCTGCAGCATGCCGCACTGGAGCGGGGATTAAAAAAAAATAAGGTATTGACATATTTAATATGCTCTCCTGACTCGTCACGTTCAGAGGAATTGTTTACCTCTGCTAATGAGACACAGCTTCCTGCTGGGGGATGTAGCTGCCTCTTAGCACAGCTTTACAGTGGCTGCTGATGGAAGAGGATGAAAAATCCCCATCAGCTGAAGCTATGGGGGCTTTGAGTGCATTTTCCTGTGCTGAGGCAACATATTGTGTTGCAGTATGGTTCTGCCGCAAATGCGGTCATACAAATGGCTTAATAGGACAACCCTGAAAAGGCCATCCTGGAGCTGTGTTTTCATGTCTCGTGTCTGAAGAAAGGCACAGCAGTGCGGTGTTGTGGTGTGGGGCTGGTGGGGAACCGCCTGTGGGGCAGAGCAGAAGGCTCCCCAGTAAATTCGTGCTGCTGCTCAGGAGGTGAATCTCCACTGAGTATTTGCTGTGTGAGCTGTCCCCAGTGTGGCCATGCTGACCAGGTTCCTCCTCAGGGCTAGGGATGATGCTCCTATTGCGGCTGGTTCTGGAGGCTTCCTTAATCAGCAGCTGAACTACATGAGGGAAGAGCTTTGCAACCAAGCCATAACAATAAAACGCTTCCCAAAGCAGTGGGGATGTGTGAGAGCAGCACCTGCAGCAGTAAAGGGTGGCCAGAGTGGGAGCTGGGAGAAGTTTCCCAGAAACATTGAAGGGAAGCAGCTGAGTCTGACAAATTCAAAGTCCCTCATGGTGTCCCGTCTGCAGGGATGGATGGAGCTGGCCCAGCACCACGGCCAGGTGTGCCTCCTGCTGCGGGCTGGCAGGCTGAGAGCAGGAGGAAGCAGGGCCAAAACCCTGCCCGTCTCCCATATGCCTGTCCCAGGGATCAGGGAACTGGAGGCTCGTGATCCCTGGTGGCTCCTTTATACCCAAACCTGTAAACGTGCACAGCTCAGCAAGCCCAAGGATGTCTTTAAGCACCCTGATGCTTGGAGTGGCATATGGCTTGAGATCTGCTGAGTTTTAACAGGGCAAACGTGAAAATAACCTCTAAGTGACAGCGCTGAAAGGTGGGCAAGAGCCTCAAAAGCCACCAAGTGAGTCACGTCACTACGGCTTCCTCCGCTAAAATGAAATGTTCCTTTTTGGTTTGGGCTTATTGAAATGTCCTTCCTCCTCGGGATGCTCAATGCGTTTGCTGCCGGTGGGGTGGTTTGAAGTCAGCCGGGAGGGCAGGGGGGGAGCGGAAACAGATGGCCACTCTTTGGCTGCTCCCTTGGTCCTGGTAAGATCAGTTATAGCACTGTTGAAACAATTCCAGGTATTATTTTAGAACCTGGTTTCCTTATCCAAGCCATGTGTCCTCCAAAGAATCTGTCCAAAGTCTCAAGATATTTACGTCTTCAATCTAAAAGTCAGAATGCATTAGCCGGGGAAACTTGGTCTCAGGGAGCTTAAAATAAAACAGTTCACTTAGTCTCACGCTATTAAATCAGTCGTGAATGTCCTCATGGCAACTAAATGTTGCGGCTCTCCAGCATGCTCTTCTGGTTGCTCTTTTCTTGGGGGCGCACCAAAAAGTGTTGCAGCCTTGCTGAGCCCAAGCTCAGCCCAAATGGGCAAAGCCCTGGGGCAAGTGGTAAAATCCTAGCTGAGGACAAGTTGTCATAATAAATGCCATCACAGCAAGACTGTGACTGCATGGGGCAAATGTCCCCAGGGGGGTGACGTCCCTGGCAATGTCCCGTGCTGGTGTTTCCAGGTGCACCCTTGGGTTTCACCTCCTCTCGGTGCTCAGCAGAAATGCTGCACGAGGGCACTTCTGAAGGTGACAGCGGGGGTTTGGTCCTAGAAGGAGGATTTCTTGGGCAGCAAGCTCTTTCTGACAAGGCATGATGACAGGAAGCCAGGGTGCTGTAGGTAAGCTGCCCCCCGATTTGCTGGGGGGAGAGGAAACAGGGAAAACAGGCGCACTAAAAGCCCAGTTTCACAAAGCCCAGCTGGTTCCTAGGGCTCTTAATGAGCGCACAAAGTTGTTTTGCTTTTTTTCCTGGCAGATAATGCCATTTTTAAGCCTCATAGCATAAAATTATATATTTTTGTAGGTGAAATTACTTGATTAATCATTAAGCTGTTGAATATTTTAAACAAACTAGACATCTGTTGTGAATGGAGAAAGCTGCACAGAAATAAAACTGCAGCCTTCAGTAGGTCCCCATGCCAAAGGAAAAGCTGGAAAGAAATTACAATCGCTAGCTGCACAATGAAGAAAAATAATACAAATATTAGTAAGGTTCAAGAAAAATATAAAGGTTTGAGTGATGAAAAATAAGGGGACAGTGTGAAAGTCTGTACTGCTCGGCCAAGGATGTTGACCACTGCTGTCAGAACCTCTGTGAGCTGCTCAGCTGGTGTCTTGGCCTGGGGACCCCGTGGAGCTGTGTTGCTTCCCAAGGTCTCTGCCTGATGAGATCCTATAGCTCAGGTCAAGCTTCTGCTAGAGCCCAGGTCACCCTGGGATCGATCTGGTTTTAATCCCACTCACAAGAGGAAGAGCGGTGTCACGTCAGTTTGGAGTGGTTTCAGA